TCAAATGAGATCGAGTCAATTCTCAGACTTGAACGTTTATTTACAGACACGCAAAGTAATCACACATAACTCAGATCTGGTCCACTTTCTGAAATCTCCAACCTGACCACAGAGACCCAGCAGCAAAATGGAGAACTCGTACATAAAGCTTTAATCCAGAGTCAAGTCCCGCCCCGGATATATCATACTAAACAAGAAGTAAGTTATAGAAATGAACGGTATAACTAAATAGAGACTTTGTCCTGATGCATCTCAGTAATCCAGGTAAAAAATCAAACAGAAAAAAATTGTATAGGTCTTCTGGACGGGTTCTTCTCCAATGAAACGTTTCGTCTCTTCTCCAAGAGACTTCTTCAGTCTGAGAGTTTTAGGCAAAATTCAGGCTTTTAAGCCCTGCCTCCATGTGACTGATACTCACATCACATGGCTATCGTTGACACCTAATTAACACCTATTGTTAACAGGGGGTGGAGTGATACTGGCAATAGCAGCACTGTAGGAGGGGGACTACTGAAAACAGAGGCCTCCACCTCTGTTTAATGATGGACGGTCTTTCTTCACAAAAATAGCTTCTTTTACTCCTCTCTCAAACCAACATTCCTCTCTGAAGAAGTCTCTTGGAGGAGAGACGAAACGTTTCATTAGAGAAGAACCCGTCCAGAAGACCTGTACAATTTTTTTCTTTTTAAATAGAAACTTGTTGATTCCTTAACTGTTTACAGTAAATTACCACAATCAATCACTATAAAGATGCAAGACTAAAATCCAATCCAGTTAATCACTTGCAATGTATCTTTCAGTGACCATCTTGAAAAACCTCAAAAGCCAAACAGCTGTAAAAGTAAAGCCAAACATCGTCCAGGGATTTCAATAGAATATGTCCAGTACTTACCGGAATATTTTGCTAACAGACAGGTAGGATGGAATCCAAGAGTTAATACAAAGTTTTTAAACAAAGATGTTGCGCAATTTGTTCTTCTCAAAGTATGTGTTGAGGATGACTATCAGCCACAACCACATCAAATTCTAGCTCAATAAATAAACTTTGAATGCATCATTTATTGTTTCCAAAGGTTAATTAGCTGTGGCAGCCATCTTGAATCAGATGGTACTAGAACAGTTTTTTTGAGTTAATATCTCAGAAAAAAAATCAAAAGTGTCTACTTTTTTTTTTTTTTTTTGAGAAAAAAACACATGAACGGATTTTTTGGCTCCACCAAACGTGCCATAATGTTAAACAAATGCCAGCCTCCCCGTAACGTAGCTGAGCGTAGCTGCTGCTTGTTGTCAGGCTCTTCATCATTGAATCACCGATCTGCATGTTGCAGGGTACCCAGCAGGCACGCTCCCCTCAGCCTCTGCACTGCTAATGACAGCCAGCCTCAGGCCAGGCTAGACGCTCAAGGTTACGTGCCTCCTCACAACGAAATCAGCAGCTCTCATCTTAGAGGAATAAAGCAAATGCAGCCCTGCTTGGATGGAGGCTGACTCACTGGTTCAGTCTGTTGAAATGTCGGCCGCTCCTTGGCCAAAGTTCTGTTCTTTTTTCCCCCATTTTTCTCTGATATCTAATTTGTGGGAAATGGTGCCTGAAACTAAAAGGAAGGAGCCGCATCGCAGATTTGAGGAGAACTCCTTTTGATTCACAGATGTCGGGGCCTGTTCACACTTTCTCACCTTCCATCAGCTGGTGTTGTTTTAGTCACTGAACTGCAAAGACCCTGAAACATGACTCGCAGACACAGAACAAACGCTTCATCGGCTGCTGTGTTTTCTGTGTGACATGTCCGATTGCCATCTGAGGGCGCTGCAACAACCTCACACTAAACCATGCCTTTTGATGCTTTCTTTTCATGAACCTAGACATTGCTGTTGGAAAATAAAAGCTTCTGGAGCGCTGAAGCTGATTTGAGTATGTTTCTAATCAGCAGCTTTTAAAAATATCAACCAATGAGATGGAAACAAGACTCTTGTCTTTTGCTGGTTTGCTGGCCACCTAAATATTCTAGCTGCTTAGTAAATGAGCCACATGTCGTTTACATAATTTGCTGGTGGAGGCGATACCTGCTCTGGTTAATTATTCATGTGCCAGAAATGTGGGCATCTGTTCTCCTCACAGACAGAATAAAAAGGAGGAGAAGATCAAATTGATCAGATGTGGATGAAATAATACCTGGTGCCGCTGATGTTTTGGAATTGTATTCCTGGCATGATATTATTTTTCTTTTCTTTTTTCTATAAAGTGCTATGAAAGGGTTTCACACTGGAAAAGAACATATTCTTTCTCTTTCTCTCTCTCTCTCTCTCTCTCTCTCTCTCTCTCTCTCTCTCTCTCTCTCTCTCTCTCTCTCTCTCTCTCT